AAACCAAATATGTATCTTGGCTTTGATGGAATCTGGTAGGCTTTGATCCCCGTTAGTCGCACAGTGCATTAATGAATTATACCTTTCAAAACTCGCTAAGAATTCAGCTAATTCATCGATCCTTTTTCCCAGGAAAACAGGAATGCATGGATGATACATCTAAGGATGCACACTACTGAACTTGCTTTGGATGCTGGATCTGACCTACATTTTACGGATGAGTGACTAGGTTAAAGTTTTTGGAGTAGATCTCATTTCCAAGTAACTATAAGCCCTATATTGACCAAACTTTTATGGGTGATACATCTAAGGATGCACACACTAACTACAATTTCCCGATGAGTGACCAGGAACACGTGCAGCTAAAAAACACCTAAGAATTTTGGAAGACAGTGCAGAAACTTTATTCAGTGTAGGTACTATCTTTATTCTGCTTATAAGTACGCGGTGTATCTTAAATTTTTTGTGTTTGTCATTGATCCTTTGACCTTTTAAACATTCTTTACACTTATTTTTAAACCATTTAACTTCGTTATAACAGATTAAATGATTTCAACATCAAATTCTTAAAGCCAGTCATCGAATTCTTGGCAAAAGACAACAATTATAATATCCAGACAGAAATGGAGGACCAGAAAATGTTCCGTTTAAGACCGAACTTAATTGAGAGGATGGGGATAACGTTGATTGATTGATTGATTATCGTTGTTTTACCCCGATTCGGCAATATTTCAGCCATATTTCGGCGGTATGAAAAACATTGTTTGGTTAGCGTAACCCTGAAGACTTTTTCGCCTTTTTTCGTTTTTTTTTTAGGAACATTTTCGTCGTAAAATCATTCATTTTTCATCCATAATGCTTTATTATCATCTACTTTCAATTGGAATTTCAAATTTTCCCGTAATTTTCAAAAAATATCATTTACCACAAAGTTTTCGAGTCATTCTTTTGATCATTGATAAAAATTAACTCATTTATCGCTTTCAATTGTATTAATTTTATTTTCCTAATAAAATTTGCCATGTAATGGTCAGAAAAAATTGTAGTTATAACAATGTAACTATATAATACATGCACATCATACTGTAGGGTGGAGCATTTTGTTGTGATGGAGTATACAGTGTTTGGTTTGACATATCAAATATTCTTGGTCAATTTTTATTGCCCCCTCCTTTAAAAAACTATGAGGTGCTTTCCTGTTAACATGTTTAAATATATATGCTTTGAAAATTCAAATTTTCAAAGATAAATAAAAATAATAATATTAAGTGTAGACAAACTGTAGTAAATTTTTTTTAAAGAAAATGGGAGAGACTTGACCTGTAGCGTGCTATCTATATATAAATCTGATCCCATTAAGAATGTAAGCTAGTATTTTAAAAATAAAATAAATAAAATAGCGAGGTTCAGTGCATAAAACAAACATTTAACTCTTCCTTGCCTTCGGAAAATGATTTTGTATATCGTCCCTGCGCTTCCAAAAAACTCGTAATTGAAAACAATAGATAACTAAATAGGCAATATCATCTATAAGCAGTGGCAGTTGACAGTAAGCACTTGGAAGCATGCAGTTGGCTGTCGTATATGGAATTCCATTGTAATACAATATTTTTGAAGTCTGCGTGGCACGAATCTGATATTTTAAAAAAAAACATTTCTGGATAAAAATATCTTAGGAAAGTTAACCGTTAAGGAAGTTAATTTTCAGCAATAAAAACTTAAAATTATTTGGAATATATATAATATACATTTGTTCAAAAGTATTGAGCGTTTCGCTTCCAAAACAATGACACTTTTTTCATACCTTAAATCACAGGCACTTGTTTCGGTAATAAATTTTTAACCCATAGTATAATAATAACACAAGGTATCTAACTCCGAATTACACGGAGTACCCCCCTCCCCCAGAATCGCACTCATTTACACTTTCAGAGGAAATACACTGACAAACTGTTTATACCTATGTTTTCTACGATGATTTATGGGTCTTCTTTTCTCTCTAGTATTGCTTTGTTTCTTTATCCCTCAGTGTGAAAAAGATGCCAAAGTAATATCCAATCACAGTGTGAAAGGATATCAAAGTAAGTAAGGATGTCAAATCGGTCAATATTTGGTAATCGGTTACTCGGACGATTTTTCGATCGAGTACCCGTGTACTCGGAAAGTATGTATTCAACTATTCATGAAAAAGTTTGTTGATTTTATAGAGACGTTTACCCCATCGATGTTTTCTTACGTTTAAAATGCATGTTTATATAAAACCAAATCTGATATAGTTTAAAATCTTTATTTGCCTTTTGAGAACTACTCAGCTATACACATCATCAATGCTAATCGGTTATGTACAAATAATGCATACACAGTGAAACATTTGCATAAGATAAAATGTTTAAACATATGAGTGGCCGATGGCCTTGAGCATGTTGTGGGCGATGGCCTTGTGTGATTGGCCGATGGCCTAGTGTGATTGGCCGATGGCCTCGTATGATCGGCCAATGGCCTTGTAAGTCTGAACGGCCGATGGCCTTGTAACTGAAGGAGGCTGATGGCCTTGTGCATGTGTTTGCGGCCGATGGCGTTGTAGAAATCGAATGTACCATGTATGCTGAAAATGCAATTTCTTTGGGGTTGTATAACACATGACATAAATATTCATGTGTGAAATGCCCAAAATGAAGATATCACAAACAGGATAATTGATGTGTTTGAGATAGCTGAGAGTCCCCAAAAGAAATTGTTACCACCACCATCCTTAATCTGATAAACATCCTCTAAATACAACAAAATTGCTAAGTAAACAAATGTATATATATACACAGAGTTTTGAAACATTCAATATTACTGTGTAATAGCCTAACAAAGAAATAATATGCCTAGTTGAAAACTTCATACAAGGAATTTAGCCACTAAATATCGGTTTAAGAATTTTTACAATAACAATCCAATGGAAATCTACTTAATCATAAATTTCTCAGGTGAAAAGTCCTTATAGTGAATATGCTTATTGTTGAAAATTTAAGAGTACAAACATAAAAACAAAGCCATGAAACAATCCATATTAGTATCATAATTGTAAGGAAAACTATCATTACTTCAATAAAAATTCTTTAGTACACTGATTTATAATTTTGAAACGCACCTAGCATCCTAGATGAAAGTTAAAAGTTGATCATGTTACTGTTGACTATGCACAATAACTCCATGAATATAAAGGTCTTAACAAGAGGTAATATGATTCCAGTTCTATTTACATCAGTGTGCAATTATTTAGCGGGTTGCATAACAGAGACTTGGAACAGAACTTAAAGTTACATACACATGGTTTATCACTGCAAATGAAAAACCACATCCTTAGGAATAACTGAAACATTTCATCACTTAATCACTATGAATCACTTGTTGCACATCGCCTGTTGTGCGCGGGACAATGTGTCATCGTCTGTACGAATGTATCGGTTGTAGCAGTCGGACCTCCATCTTCCCAACGTTTTAATCATGTGATCCTCCACATTACCCAATGCTGCAGATGTTGCTGCCCCAATTCTGAAGGAATGTCCATTGTACTTTTCATCTCTGTATCCCAACGAGTTAAGTAGTTGTTTAAGTTTACTGATGAGGAAATTTCTAGTTAATGGAGTTCCACTTTCTTCAATGAAAAGTGCAGGAGATATTCTACAATTATTCCAGGTTTTGCGAATCTTGAGATATTCCACCATTGAGTACCAGATTTGAAGATTCTTATACTTATTCCTTGACGGAAAGGGTCTGTTTTTGAGCTTTTTAGCACCAAGGTGAATGCATTCATTGTGTCATCCATCATAATGTCTGGTAAAGATAACATGTTGTCCAGGTTACCATTCTGAATGGTGAATTCCCCACATCGTAGGAAGGCGAAAAAATGCTAATGAGGATGCAGACATTAGCATAGTGACCACGAGTTTGCCAAATATCCCTCGTTTCAGAACGTAGTGTAGCTGACTTAGTATATTGTAATTTATGGGTCTTCTTTTCTCTCTAGTATTGCTTTGTTTCTTTATCCCTCTAATACAGAATGCAGTCTGGAGCATGTTTCATTCATGGTGAACCAAGGGCAGTGAACGCCAGCTTTCACATAGAAGAATCTCACAGCTGCTAGGTGTAACTTTATGGTATTGATAGACAGTTTTAAAGCTTTAGAACAGTGTGTCACAAAATAAATGAGTGTTTGTTCTGAAATTGGTGGTGGTCTAAAGTCCTCTGCTCTTATCCCAATGGAAGGTAGAAAATTACAGAAACTCCTAAAACCTGTTATGTAAGCATTTCTTGTGTTTTCACTAATGGAAGAATCGCACAATTTATCCGCTTGATCCTCTAAGTACAAAACAAGTTCTTGAAGTGATGGTATGTTCACTGGGTCTTTCGATGCTGCTGGAGCTGCTTCTCTGAATCGGGCCATCTGGAAACGAGAAAGAGAATCAGCTATTACATTTTCTTTACCTGGGACATGATCACATAGAATAAGAAAGTTTTCACATGCTGATTTCCAAGTTAATTTTCTCATAAGCTTCATTATGATAGAAGATTTAGAACGACGTTTTCTAATTATCTGAACAGTAGCCAGATTGTCACACAAAAATTTAATCCGTTTTCCCGACCATTCATGTCCACATAGAACCACAGCTACTACTAACAGGGCCATAGAAAGAGGATCGCTTCCCAGGTTGTGAATTTCTTCTGGCCATTTTCCTTGAAACCACTGTCCGGCATAATACCCACCAAATCCATGGTTTGATGACGCACCAGTATATAAAGAAATGTCGTACGTGTATGTGACATTTTCCTCCAAGAAAAAAGACTTTCCGTTCCAACCTTTAAGAATTTTTCCCACATGGTTAAGTCTTTTCTGCACTCGCTCGTCAAGTACACATGTGAAGTTCGGACACGGAGTGGGCTAGGGTAAGTAAGTAAGAAATGAATGATCTACCAGCGGGGATTACACGTGCTGCAAAATTAAAATGGCCTTAGACACTTAGAATCTCCCGTTTTGTCCATGATCTTTTTGATCGAAGGTTATTAAGGAAAGTTAATATTCTTTCAACTTTCTCCAAGGGAATACGACTTTCCATAATTTTAGAATCAAATATAATTCCTAGGTATTCAATCACTGTGTCTGGACCTACTGTTTTCCTCTCTGAAATAGGGATTCCAAGCTTTTTGAATACTATGGTCAAAACTGCCATACTCCTCAGTCCACCTTCGCCAGGGGGGTCAAATGTGACGAAATCGTCTAGTAAATGGAGGATATTTTTAACATTGTAGTTATATTCTAATATCCAACAGATGGCTTTGGAAAGCATGTCAAAAATTTTGGGACTACTCCTACAACCGAATACTAGTCTCTTGTAGAAGAAGTATTTGTTCTTCCATTTAAATCTGTAATAGGGTTGAACTTCTTGCGAGATAGGAATTAATTTAAAGGCGTCCACTATATCAGTTTTGCACATGAGTGACTCCCTACCTAGTGTCTTTAAAATGCTAATGGCATCATCGATCCGCACATATTGCAAAGAATATTCGTCTTTATCAATAAGATCATTAATACTCTTTTCAGATGATTGATTGTGAGGCGAAGATAAATCAACAATTAGTCTATGTTTCTTTGAGTATTTCCCTTGAGAAATTCTAATGGGGCTAATTCTGTAAATGGTATATGGTGGTATGTCATATGGACCATCTAAGTAACCTTTCTCCATTTCATATTCTAATAATTTGTCTACAATTTCAGGTTGTTTTCTAGCTGACAGCAAATTTTTGCACTCTAATGTAGAGTTGTGTAACACGGTTATTCCAGTGTTAAATCCCTTCTCTAGTCCGGTTATTAATGAATCAACGAACATCCTGTCGGGGTGTCTAGTAAGTTCTTTTTCAAGTAAATAAGTATTTATCGGGGTGATTATCGCTGTTTCGCATTGCCTGTCCCCATTCTCTTCATAAATTAGTCATTGTTTATCCGATTGAGTGTGATCTTTGGATTTGTTTTTGTGCAATTGGATGCAGAGTGGTTGTTTAGTTTGCATTCTGAACATATGTGGAGGAGATTGCAAGAATTCCTGTGGCATCCATTTGATCCATTGAAGTTGTTACATATTTCTTTCCCTTTGTATGAAATTCTTGGTCTTCCTTGAACATCCACATTACTAGGTGTTTGTTTCATCTTGCCATTTGGATTTCGTACAGAAGCTATGAGCCCCATCTTTGATTTGGGGCTGAAATGTGAGGCATGTGTCGCGCTACTACAGAGCTCGCATCGTATCATAGTTTGACCCGAAAATATGGTTGTAAACAATATAGTGTCTCTAACTGACCAGTCGATGTTAATGTTTCTCTGTAGTAAGAGTGCACTTGCTCGGGCTGAGAACGCCTTATGGTATTCGTAGAAGGGAGATCCTCTTGTAGTTGATGTCATTTCTACCATGTCACGTTCGTAGGCATCTAATTCTTGTCATCTTGAAGGATAAACCTCACAAATGATGTTTTTGTACTTCGTAAAGGCTATTATAAATTCGTTAAGAGTTAGATTTCTTAACAACCTAGCATCATGATTTTGTTTCAGGAAGATGTATCTACCTTCACTGTCGATGACCTTTTGTTCCTCTACCTCGCGTGGCATGATAAGTAAGGCTAGGTTTATATCTATACCTTGGATTATGTTGCTTCGTAGCGTTGGTGATACCGTTTCCACATACGGCAAAGAGTCCGAGGAAACTCGGGTAGGTATACTCTGCGAGGGGTTCCATTCAAGGGACTGAGGATTCAAGTAATTCCTAGTCTCGGTTGAACTACCTGGCTGGTTGGATCCCGGCTGATTTTTCTTAAGGACGTCCAGTTCGTTTGCTAACTTTGTCACTGAGTCTCTTATTCCTCGTATAGCTTCAGACAGTTCATCTTGCCTAGATGTCAACATCCGCCCAGCCTCGTTCTCGGTTATCTGATCTGAAGATGCCGGAAGTGTATCTTCTGCGCCATCTTGATTGTTAGCTCCGAGATCAATGTCGGTTACACAACTTGTCGAAGTTGTTTCCTTTGACAAAACATTGTCCCGATATATTTGCACTAACTGCGACTTTTTGAGCGATTGTGGCAGCACGATTCCTTTCAATTTCAGTTTGTTCAAAATTTCCGATGCTGTCCAATTTTCAAGTTCACTTGTGTTCCAACGTGAAAGTTCACTTTCTGTCGGTCTTGATGAGGTTTCGGCACGTTTTCTTTTCCTTCCAGACATTGTCACTTGTAAATAAATAGATCTATAGAAACAATCAATAATCACATCGCATAGGTCATCCGCATAGGTCACGGATTATGAGACTATTCGCCCGTGTCCATATAAACAAATACACGTGGAACTACACGTGGTGTATCTGCTATTTAGATATTACAATCCACAACAGAGAATAAATAACACCGGCAAAGTTTCACGTAAGTCTTATAAATAAAATCCGTAGGAATTTACTTGAGATTTGCAGGAACCGTGCTAGAGAGACAAAGCAAAACTTGAGGAGTAATTTGATTGGCTATTACGATCACGTGACATTGGTAAACCATGTGCTAAGTAATTTGATATCTATTATATAATCTATATTTAATTACATTAAAATAATTACATAAACATCGATTCCAACGAAAACGATTTTGTGGTACTTAAGATATGTATCTAACAAACACAAAAGACATGATCAATTAATACATCAATAACTACGTACAAAATCAATGCTTTACAGCTCTTTTTTGGGAAGATATTTTGATCATTTTGAGCCCCCCCCCCCCCCCACGCTTAATTTACTATGCACAGCTGACTTTTAACATTTTTTTAAAAATATTTCTTCACTTTTGAATTGGTAGCGGTATTTCTACGTATGTCCGATTTCGCTACCGTATGCTTTTTAAATAAACTAAGGATAATTGATAGATCATCATTAAATGATGTTCATTGAAAACAAATAACTAAAGCCATCTAAATATTAGGGTCACAAGAGGTGAGAACAGCTGTGCACAGGCGATAACGGGTATTGGCTGTTGAAGGTGACGCTAATTACTGTTTAGACATGGACAGTGTATATTTTAAAAATCAATTTTTGATAAGTTTTTAATAAATATATGCACTTTTAAATATGAAAGAAATATGTAACCGAGTACGGATTTTGGTATTCGATACGCGGACGTTCGATCGAATACCCGGTTAACCGGGTACTCGTTGACATGCCTTAAAGTAAGTAAAAATAATTTCTATCCTGTCATAAGATAGAGATAGTTACTAAACCAGATTGATAGAGACTATAACTGCCAATTTCTTCCCAATAATAATTCTAAAATCCATGTTACAAGTACAATGTTTTTCAATCTCACAATTACTAAGCTATGACGTCACAGCCCATGACACTGTTAAGAAAAGACAAAGGGATATCAAAGAAAATATTAATGCAATAAACGGAATATTTAATGTTTTGTTGTTGGATATGGAATTTATTTCACTCGTGAGACAAGATATTTGATATTTTCACTCGTGCTTCGCACTGATGAAGGTATAAAAATATCCTGTCTCACTCGTGAAATAAATTCCATATCCAAATACAATATTCTCTCTATAAGTTAAATGTATTTACAAAACCATGTGCAGCTATATATATGTTAAGCATTAGAGCTGAAAACGTTCTGAATTATAGATATGTTACAATGGTAATGTAAGCGGCCTAAAAAAACGTCCCTTTTTGTATAATAACTGATGAGTTGGACATCAATACTTAACCAACGCATCCTCACCAGCTACTAATACTATTCCAAAGTTCATTTCAAAATTCCGTATATGAAATTGATTTAAAAAAAATAAAGTACAGAATTTACATCCTCCTTATGTCAGTCGTAATAAAGTTTAGAAATCAGATGACAACTATACACCCGAACTTCAAATCGGGATTTACCGTCACGGTAGCTCAGTCAGTAGAGCGCTCGCTCATGATCATTGATCGGAAGATCGTGTGTTCGAATCACGGCCGCGACTGACCTAAGTCGATAAAAAATAGGTAGCAACTGTTCCTTCGCCAAGCGCTCAGAACTTTGAAGTGAAAGATGCAGGTCCTTCGGATGAGACCTTAAAAACCGAGGCCCCGTGTCACGGCAGGCGTTGGCACGATAAAAATCCCTCACTACTCAGTGGCCCTGAGTGCCGAGTAAAGTCTAAATTTGAAGCCCTTCACCCGTAAATGGCGACGTCTCTACATGAGTGAAAAATTCTCGAACGGGACGTAAAACAACATACATGTATGACAACTAAACACCCGAACTTCAAATCGGGTTTTACCGTCACGATAGCTCAGTCGGTAGAGCACTCGCTCCGTGATCGGAAAGTCGTGAGTTCGAATCTCGCCCGCGACTGACCTAAATCGATGGAAAATAGGTAGCGCTGTTCCTTAAAAACCAAGGTCCCGTGTCACGGCAGGCGTTGGCACGATAAAGATCCCTCACTGCTCAATAGCCTGAGTGCCGAGTAAAGGTCTAAATTTGAAGCCCTTCACCCGTAAATGGCGACGTCTCTTGAGTGAAAAATTCTGGAATATGACGTAAAACAATATACATGTACAATCAATCAATCAAATTGGGATTAAAATGCATTTAGCGTATTTATTTTCTCTTTAAAAATGAAAATTATCAGAAATATACATAGAGTTGATAAAGCCCCACACGTGAATTTCTGTACTATAAAATCTTAAAATTGACCTTTAATTTTATTATCGTGTATTTGAATAAAATGTTGACTCAGCTCCTTTCCTCGCCAACCACGTTTCAAAGCAGAGCATATATCTAAACAATATATCTGGAATAAATTAAAAAATGCTGATTTTAATACCTCAATCAGTATTCCTGAAATTTAGATACTTTATTTGATGGAAAAAAGTTGACTGACTATGAAGTATTCAAATTCTTGAAGCGTTCGAAGGCGTCAGCTTTTTGGGGAACGTATAATTTGACCAACTACTGTACACGCTCGACATTTTTTATGTCATTATTTTAATGTGGTATAGGGCTATTAAAATTCTTAAATATCATGATAAACACATAGTTAAATAACTAATGAATTTGGGTCTCAAATAAAGAACCACGCACGCTAACTCTCGATTCCCGCCTACATTTTTTACCAATTTAATTCAATATAAATGGCAGTTTGGCCATTAAAACTTGATTCAATGCAAAGAAGAGTTCATTAATAATTGACTGATAATTTTAAAACAAGTGTCAACCGTTCACGGTAGCTCAGTCGGTAGAGCGCTCGCTCCGTGATCGGGAGGTCGAATCACGGCCGCGACTGACTTAAGTCGATAAAAATTGGGAAGCAACTGTTCCTTCGCCAAGCGATGGGCACTTTGAAGTGAAAGTTGCGGGTCCTTCGGATGAGACCTTAAAAACCGAGGCCCCGTGTCACGGCAGGCGTTGGCACGATAAAGATCCCTGCTCCATGGCCCCGAGTGCCGAGTAAAGGTCTAAATTTGAAGCCCTTTACCGGTATATGGTGACGTTTCTATATGAGTGAAAAATTCTCGAATGGGACGTAAAACAACACACAATTAATCAATCAATAAAACAAGTGTCAAAAACGTAATTTCTCTTATTTACGACTCTATTCAAAAGGGGGTTTGAAAATTTTATCCATTGAAACCAGGCTTTAAAAATCTCTAGATTCTCACATCGCATGGAAATGGATTGATTGATTAGGGTTTAACGCCGAGTCGGCAATATATCAGCCATATTTCGGCGGAACATTAATTTTTTATGACCGGTTTTGAAAGATTTTTTGGTTTCTCTGGCGGCCCCCAGTAAGCCTACTCTTTTCCGAAAACCAGAGAAA